TTGGAGTGGTGGCTACTTTACAACACACAGGGACCATGAGGTATAAGTAGCCTCCAGAAGGAAGGACAGTGTCCGCACCAAATCAGAGATGATTGGAGGATCTACAGCCAAGTGATACACAAATAAGTTAAGTTTTTGTTAATAGATGGGGTACTTGAATGCAGGGGCGTCCCGAGGCCGGGTGACACCCGTAGCGGTAACCGAGTGTCACCCCGCCGAGACGTCACTACGCGTGCGCACGCGCGGCAGTATTCTAATGCTGGGTCCCCTCCTCTCTCCTGATACTGTCGGGCGTTCGGTCCATGACCAAGCGCCCGACTTTTCAGAGGGGGGTGACACCAAAATGACTGAGTCATTTTGGTGTCACCCCTCCAATGGTGTCACCCGGGTGCGGGCCGCACCCCCTTGTGACGCCACTGCTTGAATGCATTTTTAAGGTTTAACTTCTTAGTTTAGTGTCACTTTAACTACAGCTGAATGAGAAATGCAAAGAGAATAACCAGTGCTTTATTTCCACACTTCCAATTTGTAGCAGCACCCTATACATGAAACACCTGAACTTTGGCCATATAGTATAGTAGTGATGATCATGAGTCTACAAATATTTAGGAATATAGTCTACTTTTATACTGGGGTAAAGTTGTCAACTTCCGGGTTGCAGTAAATGTGTTTTAATGTCTCTGCATTTTATAACCAGCATTGTCATTCATTTCAACGAACCATAGTTATGCATTTCAATGCTTGTATGCATGGTTTTTGGAGCACACCACATGCATCCACTTTATATTAACACCATGGAAGTATTCTTGTACACTTTTGTTTAGTGCACCATTGCACTAAAACAGCTGTATGTGATGGAAGCCACTACATAAAACAATGCTTTGTGAATGGCTATAGCCATTGTACATAAAAAGGTTGTATGTGCAGCTGTTAAGATTCCTATTATCCCTTGTGAAGAAATTAATAGGATACACAGAAATCTTTGTTTTTCTTTGGGGGGAAGAAAAGAAGTTGCAACTGTTGCTCGTTTTGTCTTCATTTTTCAACTGAAAGGAGGGAAAATTGGAGACCTGTAAGTGATCTCTTTTTTTCCCTTGTTTTGAGAAGCCTAATGCATCGGCAGCTTGGTTATTAATCACCGACCTGACAAGGGAGTGCAGGTGTTTTTTGTTTAAAGAGGGAGCCTGTCCATTTACTTCTACCCTTCATTATGCCATGGGGACATCCGTCCAAAGTTTTCTGTTAACTCTTCCCATACCGCAGAGGCCCACAGTCTACTTTGTTGTTGCGCTTCATTTGAACTGCTAGCGTGCATGGTTTATCAGTTCAAAGTACTCTTTGAACGAGGATTAATTAAGCATCCCCTGAAACACAATAGTCTAGGTGGGGTGCTGGTAAAGGCTTTTCCCTTTGTTGTTATCGTTGCCATGACCTCAGCAGGAATAATTATTCACACCGTACCTGGTGTATTGTGTGGATTTTTTTTTCTTTTTCTTTATGACTTTTTAAAGAAGAAACCCATAGTTTTGAAAGGTTTCATCTTTAAATCTTAAGTTGGCCAATTAAGTGTATAACCACTTATGTTTGAGCATGATCACTAAAATACAATATACGCTTTAAACATAAACTCAAGACCGATATGAACGATGCAAATGAATGCAGCTTTGTAATTATTAATGCATCCTTTAAATTTTGCAAGCAGTGGAAGTACCAGAATTCAACTTGGCATCAGCCTCTTATTGACCCCGTGCAGCAGAGCTCAGGAAGCAGCACAAGAAACAAATCAGTTGCGTTGCGTGCATGGAGCATGCTGATAAAAGGTGGTGCAAAGAGAATGCTGATAGGTGAGGTAAAGTTGCAGAGATAAACTCATCAGTGTGCTGCTCCTCCTGTCACTGTCCAGTAACAGGGCGATGGGAGTGAGTATGAGACCTGTAAGTGAAATGGAAACTTTAGCATCAGGTACCCTGCCCTGATGGACAGGGCTTTGCTAGCAGAGTTATGGAAATCTTAGGCGTGGATGGACAAAAATACACATCCTACCCTGTCCTGCCAGACAGGGTTTTGCTAGCACAATTTTGTCAATCTTTGGACTGGACAGACAAAAATGCAAATTCTTTGGCAGGTAAAACAGCTCCCATATATGCATTTCATCTGTGTGTTTAGCGGTTTACCCGGAGTTTAGCTTTTTCACCATAATGTAATGTAAGATCTGATTTATTAATAATTTTACATCTGCAAGTTTCAGCAAAACAGTACCTAGTGATCCCACTAGGATTATTGCCTTATTCATACACTTCCTGTTATTAGGTTGCAGCACTGACCCTGTCTCCCAACGGTGCTTTTGCATTGTTACCCTGTTAACGGATGGAGACTACAAGTACTACTGTTCCAATAGGTATTACACTGACGGGGTCCAGTGTTGTCACCATCAGGAAACTGAAGTGAAATCTAAGCAGGGATGCAGACGGCACCAAAACTCGACAGGGATCCAATGCTTTTATACAAAAGAATAGGCACATGGGAGGGCGATCCCACCACAAATGCAATGCTGCAGCTATTTAGTTATGTATAAAACATGTAATTTATTGAATACATACAAAACGTAATCTTTCAAATATAAAGCGCACACATGTTTTATACATAACTAAATAGTTGCAGCATTGCATTTGTGGTGGGATCTCCCTCCATGGGGAAATGTGCCAATTCTATGTAATATAGGAGACCACCACTAATACGCGATTTAACAGCCTTTGAACGTGGGATGATTGTTGGCATTCGGAGCCATGGAGCGAGTATCAGCAAAACAGCAGAATTCGTTAAATGTTCAAGAGCCGCTGTTAGTGTTTAAAAACCTGGACTGTCAGCCGAAAATCTGGGTCTGAACATGCGAATTGTGGCCGTCAGCGACTAGTCAATGTTAGGGCAGAACGGAGAGTGGCAAGACTGGTACAAGACAACGGAAGGGCAACAGTGCATTAAATGACTGCAGATCTTAATCAGGGATCCTCTCAAATGATCTCTGAACGCACTGTTCGCCGTACACTGCATCGTATGGGATTTGGAAGCCGAAGGCCTGTTCCAACACCTTTGCTGTCTGCAGTTAACAAGATAAAACGTCTCCAATTCTCACAGGTACACAAGGATTGGACAGTTGAGCATTGGAAAAAAGTCATGTGGTGCGATGAATCACGTTTCCAGTTGCATCATCAGTTGGCAGAAACGGCATGAAAGCAAGCACCCCACATGCATCAGTACAACCCTTCAAGCTGGTGGGGGCAGTGTTATGGTTCGGGGCATGTTTTCCTGGCATGATTTGGGTCCTTTAATTCGTGTGGAACAACGTCTGAAAAGCACAAGATACTGAAGTATCATTGCTGATCAAGTTCATCCTATCATGTTGATGGCATATCCCAATGGAGATGGCTTCTTCCAACAAGACAATGCGCCATGCCACGGTGCTCGTGCTCGTATTGTGCAGGAGTGGTTTCAAGAACATGAGGGAGAATTTACCTTGCTTAGGTGGCCCCCACAATCGCCAGATCTCAATCCAATTGAGCATTTGTGGGACAAAGTTGAAAGAGCTATCAGGCAGCTGGTTCTACAACCATCAAATCTCACAGAACTGGACAGTGCTATTCATCAGGCATGGTGTCAGATTCCTCGCATCACCTTTCAACATCTTGTGGAGTCAATGCCAAGAAGAATCACCGCAGTATTGGAGACAAAAGGTGGCCCAACGAAGTACTGGCCACTCAGTGTAATCTGGCCACTCAGTGTATATATAGATATATACATATTAAATAGCTTTTATACAAAACTATATATATATATATTTTCCAACCTGTCAAAGTTTAGCCTTTTAGATATCTGTTGGAGCCATTTTTACTTTATGTGCTCTCAGGTTGTCACCTGATCGCTTTGGAAGGATTCAAGTGTCCATGGATAAGACCTAGGCCGTTTTACTTAGTAGCTACAGGATAGGGTGCTCCACAATTAAACTCCATTACCTGTCACTGCCAAACTTATGCCACTGCTCCAATTTTTATGGTTACAGACTATTACAGCTGCAGACCGAGGGGGAAAACTCGGTGTTGAGGGGAATATTGTAAGAAGGAAGGTAGAGTCAGAAGTATAGCGAGATGTGAATAAAAGACGCTTTTTTGTTCATGAACTGCATAAACAATGTGACAAAATGGTTTGTTAAAGAGATCCTGACCAATTTCTACTGACTATTCCCAAGCTCCATTGCTCTGCAGATCCAACCCTGTGTGTTAGAGCTTATATTGAGTATTCAGGCGTGGCGATTGGACCCCGAGCACTGCATCCTGGGAGTAGATTATATGCTATCCTTTTTTATTATTATTATATCCCAGTCCTGGAAGTACCAGGCATTTGTGATGGTTGTTAGAGAGAACCGAAGTGGGGTGGGGGAGCCAGTTAGAGACCCATTGTGTCCTTAATGGGAGAAGTTGAAGAATGTCACCAGCGCACCAGATTGATGATTACAGCAAATAAGTGTTCATTTATTGACGTATGCATGCAAACGAGACAGCCTCTGTCAATAAATGAAAACTTATTTGCTTTAATCATCGATCTGGTCTGCTGGTGACATTCTTCAACTATCTACATCTGGCAGCGCCATCCGCAGTCATTTCGAGCAGCGGCTTGTATCTCTCTACGGGAATCCTGGTAAGGAGTGCAGCAAGGATCCTTTTTTCTTAATTTGAAAAATGACAGGTTCTCTTTTAAACAAAATTGTCATTTAGACTTCAAGTAAAATGACACCTTAAAAGCCATGTCTTATAACGGTATGCCAAGTAAGCCTCTAGTACAAGGATCATGCACATTTCCGCCTTTCCAAATCATTTTTTTTTTTTGCTGTTTTTCCTTGTCAAACTCCGAAGTTCTTTAAAATATTTTATTTCTTCCCTTTCAGTAAACTTGCTCCTGGTCATGACACCAAATATTTTCTGATGAATTGTGTGTCTTTCTTCCAGGCGACTAGACGCTAACCATATTGTCACCGTGCCAGATGACAGCTTTGAGGGCCTTGTGCAGCTTCGACATCTGTGGCTGGATGACAACAGTTTAACAGAGGTCCCGGTTCGTCCCCTCAGTAACCTTCCATCCCTTCAGGCCTTAACGCTGGCTCTAAACAAAATCACTCACATACCGGATTATGCCTTCTCGAATCTGTCAAGCCTTGTTGTTTTGTAAGTATTTCCAGGTCAATATTTCAAGGAAATGAAAAATGAAATCTAAACTAGCAGATGTTTTTCTTTTAAAGGGAGGCTCGCTCTCCTAAAAATAGTGTCATTAAAATGATCTGATGTTTGATTTGAACGAAAATGATCTGATGTAACATTTGATTTCCTGGAGAAGTGTTAAAATATAGGTTTCCCATATGTCCTCCTCCTGGTGGGAGAGTTGTATTTTTTTCAATATACATTTTATAGCCTAAAATTTGGACCCCTGGCCATCAGACATGAATAAGCGCGTTGAACATCCCAATCCAACGCTGTGAACATTGGAGACATTGTTACCTTTCCCATTTCAGGGCAAAGTGACCGCATGTTTGTAAAGGTGCCCTCCCACCTCACCTTAATTTAAGCTTACCTTCCAGTTGTGGTGGCGCATGGGACAGTGCTTGGGTCTACAAGCCAATGACTGTCACATGATATCATAGTTCCCCTAAGAGCATTTGTTAGGTCACTCTGATGTTAGACGAGAAGACCTGGCCCACAATCTGCATTCCAATTTATCGCAAAGGTGTTTAATATGGTTGAGATCATGGCTCTGTGCAGGTCAGTCTAGTTACTCCAAATCAGCCTCCTCAAACCATGTCTTTATGGAGCTGGCTTTGTGCACAGGGGCACAGTCATGCTGGGGTAGAAAAGGGCCTTCACCAACCTGTTGCCACAAGGTTGAAAGCACACAATTGTCCAATATGCCGTTTGTGTGGTGTAGCATTAACAGTACCCATCATTAAAAACACCTGAACACAATAATTTGGAGGTCCACAAAACATTAACCATATAATGTATAAGTAAAATATAAGCTTGATCTGAACAGTTTAACCAGTGTAAAGTATTCAAAATGAATTTATGTGTGGTTTTTTAATGAAATATATCCATGGGGCAACCATGTATGCTCTGTACATATAATGGCTCTTTTTGCTGTACTGCTAGACAATGGCTGTACTTTACTACTACTTATCACAATTCAGGCTAACGAGTCAGCTGACACATTAAAAAGAATGTGCCTGGCATGTCGAAAGTTGAAGTGTATTCATACAGCATGCAAAGAACACCAATTTAAAGGAGAACTATGAGGTGAGTGATTTCCACTCATCCTCATAGTTAGAGCCGACCTGTGACAAAGAAGCTGTCGCAGGTCGGCTCTATTGATCTGGAAGTGAGCGAACGCATACCGTCACTTGCTCACATTCTGATCGTCTCCCTGCAGTGAGTGGTGACTGTCAGTCACCGCTCCCCGCAGGGAGTCCCCCCTTCCCTCTCCGATCCTCCAGCGCTGAGTGGAGGAACGGACGGGGGAGGGGGGTGGGCACAGCTGGCTCTGCCTTCTAGATAGGCAGAGCCAGCTGTCACTCACGCAGCTGGGTGGATCCAGACAGTATTGTCGGGATCCGTCCTGGCTGCGGCGCACTGAGTATACTGCCCGCGATATACTGAGCTTTGGGTCGTGGGAGGACGCTAGTATATGTCCTTCTGTGACCCTAAAGAGAACTAAGCTGAAAAACACTTACCCCATAGTTCTCTTTAATATACTGCAGTTTACCAATGCTTAGATGTGGGGGCTGCATTATATTTTTTGTCTTTCCCCCGCCCCCCCCTTTTTCTTACCTGATGATCCTGCCAGTAACACACATTCAATCCTAGGTGACATTGTTCACTCGCTGTACTGTATTTTTTATGGGCACCATTGACACCCTTGGACAAGGAATAGTGTTAGATCTAGCAAACACTTTCCCCTTTATCCTCTACATACCATATAGTACAGGTGTTCTGTATTTCTTGGCGATAGCTAGGAATGTTAACTGATCACAGAGCATTGCAGATAGTGTTTAGGAAGTTATTGTCTCACTAGATTTCTGGCAGGATCAACAAGTATATTTTTTGCACTTGTGAAACAGATATAACAAAATGCTTTCAATAGTACATTTAACAGACCAAACAGAATTAAATATGAGTAGTTCATTGTTAGGGATTACATATACTTTCAAGAGGCGTTGTAGTGGACAATCTGCTCCGCCTGTAGGAGCTAATTCTCTGTTTAATAAGAAAGAGTAAGCATTTCTTTAAAATTGAAAGTTACATAAAAAAAATTACCCAAGATAATAACTTTAAAAAATAACTTAAACTAGAAAAAAAGGCAACTTTGCAAAGCACCCAATGGTCGAAATTACGTCCACCAATAAAGGAGGTGGTCCATTCATTTAAAGGGGCCTTTTTTGGTGTAGTAATTGCAGTTGGATTTTGTTAAGTGGACAGTTTCAATATAAATAGCTATTTCTTGAGTTCTTCAAATAAAGTCAGTGCAACTGAATACTGACAGGCTTAGTTTAATCTGCAAACTGGTTGAATTTTTTTTTTTTTAGTAACCCTTTCTCCTTTTATGCTCTTAGACATCTCCACAACAATAAAATCAAAACTCTTGGACCGCGCTGCTTTGATGGGTTGGATAGCCTTGAAGCGCTGTAAGTACTGCCTGTTGCATAACGTGACTCTACAATATTTATCCATCAGATTATTCCTCAGCAAGGATCAAAGAGCTGATGGCATGACACGAGTGTGCCTGTGTATTGTGTCAAGACGAGTACTTCCTTTCATTATGGATCTCTTGCTGGAGGGGCTTTGACTGCGTGGATGGGCTTAATCAACAAAGCATTTAATTGCTATAATGGAAATAGATACAGGATGTGGGCACAGTTCACACACTGCATGTAAAGGCAGTTCTAGAGATTTTTTGCTACAAAAGTAAGCAATGTAGGTTATATAATGACTTGACCACATCAGTTCTCGCTCATCATGTTTTCCACAAGCACTGCCTGTGTAGACCCGCAGCAACCATGCAGATAGAAACTTTCACTTCAAAACGATAGTGGGACAATGAATGTGACAGTGCTGAAAATAAAGCAAAATATATGTACGAAATCACCACCAACAAAAAAATTGAATTTTGAATTGTTTTTCATTCAGTAATTTTCACATTTTGAGTGTAAGATAATTTTACTTTTTATATCTTTTGAACCAAACTTTGTAAATTGTACAAGCTGGTTGTAATGTATAAGGACAGATTAACGTTAGCTGCCATTTCAGGCTATGGGAGTACCTGATTTGCACTTAATAAAGGAAGCTATTAATAGGTGAACATAAACTTGGCAGATTTTGGCAAAGATTGGAATCGACACCTTCAGACCTGAGCAGCCACCCCTGGACATTGTATCCGCAGGGCAGTGCAGTATAGAGAGTCTATTGTGTGGTAGTTATTGTTCTCATAAGATAAGCATGGCGCCAGCTGTGTGTGCTGTGTTCATAAGCATGCATGCTTGTGCAATATAATTGTATTTGTCTGTATTCTAATCTATAAATAAATAAAAAAGAAAGTAGTCTTTGCCAGTTTTACTCGGTTAAAGGAATCAGAATTTATTCGCACCACAATGTGCATTATAACGTGTTGTGGTAGCTCTCAATAACCCACTTTGTATATGTGTTTTGGTGTGTTGCCATTCATTTCTAATAACACCCCAGAAGGGCTGCAAGTAATGATTATTTTAATAAATCGATTAGTTAGCTGATTATTTTTTCCATTAGATAAAAAAAAAAAAATACCATCCTTAATTTAGAATAAAATACACAAATGCAATGTTACAAACAAAGTTTTTACTTCAGAATAAAATTTTGCAACTGTACTGCACTGGAACGCACAGCATTGTGGAACCGCGCGTTCCAGTGCGGGCAATCACACTGTAGTTGGGAGATGGGTTTAGGGTGCCACTGAAATGAATGGTATTGCAATGCACCTCCCCCAACAGAATTTGTCAGGCTGAAACTGAAAATTACTTTTTTTTCCCCACCTTTTATATATTTATATATATATATATATTTTGTATTGTAAGCACATGGCGCTTAAATACCTTCAGCCAGGAAATGACAGCTGCCAGTGACAAGATTCCCAAGATGGCAGCTAAATGTAAATACAGTAGGTAATGGGCTGGAGCAATAGCCAGCCTGCTCTTGGGCATTTCAGATTGCAATAGCCAAGAGCAGGCTGGCTATTGCACCCACCCACTGCTTGCTGTACCCTCCTCGTAGCGTGGAGGAGAAAGCTAGGGGATCCAACCAACTAATCGGTAATAAGAATAGTCGACAACTATTCTTATCGATTGGTTGCTGCTCTACACCCCAGTGCATATGTACAATGTGCACAAATGCAATTGCTTTGCATTTTGCTGCATAATAGGTTCTGTATTTTTCAAAGCGCATGGTTTTTTAGTGAGGTTGAGATGCTTTGACAGCCCATTCAAAATGAATGGCCTGTCTAATGCAATGCACAGGAACACGTGTTACAGCAAACTGTAGTGTATGGTGAATTGGACCCTACATGTGGATACAAAGTGATTTCACTATCATAAAAAGTGTAGAGAGCTTGTTGCCAGACCATTCATTTCAACAACAATCCTCCCATAAGATATGTGCATGCAAGGTGTTTTTTTGCTTCTTATTTATCGTAAAAGCCTCCTTTTGTGTAGACTTCCAGAAGGCGTATGAATGCTGATGGGTGCCACCATTTTGTATGTGATGTCAGCAGCCCCAGCAGACTTAGAGCTGTCACGAAATGTATGGCAAACTTTTTAAAAACATTTTAAACCCACAGGAACTTTTGAAGTATTTTGCATGTTTCAGGGAGCCCCTGCTAAAAATAATTGTAACCTATAGTGCACTATACACGGTAGCATGATCACTAAATTATAAAACATTTTAAATATAAGGCTATGTATGACTGGTGGTCGTTGAAGAGTGTAGACTTTCCCCACTGGCATTGGTGGTCAATGTAGGTAGGAGTTCAATTTGCTATCTGTGACTGCTCAAGGAACCCCTAGCAACCTCAGGAGAAACCCTAGTTGAGATAGTCTGCTCTTTGGTATTCCCCTTTGCTCCTCCCACAGCAGCTACATAAAAGTTTATGTAGGGAGGTGAGGGGCATAGGAGCTTGGTGAACACAGACAGTAATTAGACACTCGCAGAGCATGAAAAGGGCTATAATATACAAGAAGGTAGAGGGACTTTGCTTGAAAATAAATTCTTCTGAAGTAGTCAAATTTGCTAGCAAGTTCAAAGGTACACTACAAGTCAGTAAAAAAATAGTTTATAGAAAAGAAAAATGTGGAATGTAAGCATTTAAAAATGCTTGTTGTTTTTCCTTTTCCCTGCTATTTAGTAGGTTGGTGACAGGGTCTCTTTACTTAGGTTTTGCTAAGCAGATATTTGTAGACCTGCAGTTTTTGTATCTAACAATCAATAAATGACCTGTATATGGTAATCATGGGCTTATTTATGCCTCACAGTTGTCTGAAAATGTCCATAACACCAAGGTTTCATATGAGAATTTTATGTACTAAGGGATGTTTGTAACACACAAACCCTCTGTTGCCAGACCATGCCAATTGCAGTGGCTGCTAGATTTCTAGTAGAGTCCTACTTGAATTAACACTTTTTCTCAATGGTTCATTCAGAAAACCTGATAATTTGAGTCTAAACACTTGTTCTCTTTGCTTACCCATACACGGAACACAATTATGGAGTGTTCCTGTGAAATTTGCACCTATTCTGCCAAAATAGCATTGAGGAGGTCAGGTACGGATGTTGGACAAGAAGACCTAGCTCGCAAAGGGTGGTTCATCCCAAAGGTGTTCAGTAGGATTGAGGCTAAGGCTCTAGAAGTGCAAGCCACTTGAGTTCCTTTATACTAAACTCAATAAAACTAAGTCTTTATGAACATGGATTTTGTACCTGAACTCAATTTGGAGGGGTGTCCACATATCCTTAGCTGTATTGTGTAAGTAGATTAATCGCTATGTTGCAGTACCTTTTATTAGATCACACAAATAAACATGAAAAAGCTCCCTCTTTCTAATGGATGTAATTGCAGAAGAATTTAATTCATATTGAGCCCGTAACATGTCCCTTTGTGGAGCCTACCATGTAACCTGTTCATCTGATACAGCTCCATTTTTCAGGTCAAGCTTTAAACACATTTGTCTCCCTTGACTTGTTCAGCACAAGTGTATCTAGCCTTACTTCCTTCCCCGTATCCTGTATAGTTCCTATTGCTCTTATCAGTTCACACGAAGGGTAGCCTTTTATTGTACTCTTTCAAGGAAATAAAAGAAAAATACTGAATATTTATGTTTGACAAAAAAAGCCTTTGTTTTCAAGCCATGTAAGCGTAGCGATTCTGCTCCTAATTCAACACCGGCAGGCATTCAGACAAAGGAGAAAGGTATGAAAGAAACCATTGAGTGCCCAGTTCTGAAAAGAAGCAGGTTCCACCGATAGTATCAGTAAACACTTCACTGTGGTGCCAGTCGCTTCTTCTGATCATAGATTAAACTGCAAATGGTGCCGTCTGCCCTCCTGCTGAATATATTCTTAAACTGTCCATATTTTGGCTAGATAATTCTTGGATTTTAACCCAACATTGTCCAGCATTGATGTGGTTTTGGTGGACAGAGGTCTATCTGTACCATGACACTGAAGTATAATCTGCTTATATTTTGCCGTCCCTGGTCTCCTGCCCCCCCCCCCCCCCCCCCATAAATGTGCAAATTAAATCTGTAAATAAAACTTTTTAGTTTTCATTACATACCTAATTTTAGACCTAGTGATGTAATCACTATGAGGGGAATTAATTAAAACTGGAGCAGACAATCTGGAGGAGCTGTGTATGGTAACTAATCAGCATTTTTCATTTTCAAACCTTGAATGAACAAACTGAAGAGAGAAGCTGATTGGTTGCCATGCACACCTGCTCCAGATTTTGTCTGCTCCAGTTTTGGTAAATCCCCCCCTTATGTGTCTGCGCTTTATGTATTGCAGACAGGTCATGGCTGATGGTGGTTGGCACTTGGGAGGAGTTCTGCATTGGACCTTTCATAGGTTTTTGTCCACTATCTCTCTTTCATGAGTTGATGTTTGGGCCTGGCGATTGGCGGCTAAGACCCAAACGCTACATACTGGGAAGAAGGGGAAAAGGCCACATGCTCCCCTCATAACCAGAAATACTAGGTATTTTACAGCACTCTTGGAACCTAATGAAGAGACGGGAGAACATAGCATAGGCAAGTATTAGTTGGGTGGGCAAGACACATTCTCTTAAAACACCTATTTTGTGAGAAAAACAAGGATTCTGCTATATTTATGTAAATTAAGCAATTTTATGAGAACAGAATCCTGATAAAATAACAAATGCACTTAAAATGACCCCTGTATGTCTATACAGTTCAAAGACATTTACATTTGTCCATTTCTGCATTTCTGGGCTTAGCTGAAGGCCATTGTCTTGTCACAGCGACATTTATTTTTATTGTTTGCGGTTTTCGTAATCCGCAGAAAGCCCTCCTCGCCTTTCCATTTGCTGAAGCCTCGTACAGCAGGCTGTGAAGTGGCTAGTCTGAACTGAGCTGACCCCTGGCCATTGTTTGGTTGTATCAGATATAAACTCTGCACTGACGGAAGTAATTAAAAATGGAAAGACAAATACTGTGGTGTAAGCAGGGGATAAAAAAAATACCACTGGTTTTATTTACATGCCAACTGTTCCACTTTGTTTTGTAAGAGTATGTTTAAGTACAATGTGGCTTTTGTTTCTGTAGTAAAAGTCAGACTATGGATCCAGACTTAAGCACTTTGTCCCTGATTATCTCTGTATGCTAGGAACATTTTTCTTTCCATTAAATTGGACTCTGGGTGACAAACCAAATGGATTTTTACAATTGTCCCTCATTTCCTTGCAGCAGGAGAGAAGCTAAAATTAATTGAGTCCAAACACTAGAAAATATTGTGTCTGTGGCCACTCACTCTCTTGCTTCATGCTGCAGCTTTTTATTTATCTTATTACTGCCTTGAGAGCCACTCTGTTTCTATAACCATTCAGTGCAAAGTGACAGTCTTTTACCGGCTCAGCCCACAAACCACTTAAGCTTACTGCCATGCGCTCCCCTTTTGCTCTTGGAGTCAAACCCCCTCTGTAAGCATTAATTTAGATAATGGAGGTTTTTCAGGGTTGACACTGTCCAGGCCTGGCAATTGGCTGCTAGAGCCTCAGCATTGCAACTCTGAAGGCGGTCACCTGCTTCCCAAAACCAGGAAGCACCAGGTATTTCCAACCTCAAAGTGGCCTTGAATGTGTGTAATAGCACTTTTAGTGTATTTTAACATTTCAAATGTTAAAATTAAATCATTTACTAAAGGAAAAGGTAGACTGCCATTGCTAACCTCTTCTCCTAAAAATCTAATGGCCCAAATACTTGACCCAAAACAAGTATGCAATAGCCTGATTACGTGATCCAAAACAAGGGTTATGGCTTTATATACTGCATGCATATCCAGGTCAGTAGCTAAAAGTAAGAGGGCAAAGGTGACCAGGTAAATAGGACTTTCAACAAGATGCCAGCAATGGCAGCCTTCATATTTCTCTTTGTACAATTGTACTTTAATATATTTATAAATTTGAGATGTCCATAGTTGTAATCAAGATGGCTGCAAGAAAGTTTAGATCATAACTTCATATTTGTATCATTCAATGTTTTATTTCTTCTATTTTCAGAGGTTTTCACAGCAATTCCATTACAACTATACCTGATGGAGCATTTGAGAAGAACCCATTGCTAAAAAGCATGTGAGTTATGTGAATCATTTTATTTTTATGTCTGTTACTTATAATGGTTGGTGGTGGGGAGGGAATGGAAGGAGATACCTGCTTTGGCAAATGCAAATTCTGGTCTCTGGTTTGCTGGGAACTCCTTTTTTTTTCTCCATAAAGCTGCTTTGGCTTGATGGTCTAAAATGGCATACCACTTTGATTTGTCAGTAGAACCGCATTGTGTAATAACAATCCAGCAATTGGCTTTCTTCATTTTAACAAGAATTCTGAAACCTTGTTAAGAGATTTACTGCATGCCAGCCAGTTCTTCCAGAATTTTAATAACCTTTTCTGCATACCTACAGTAACTTATGAAAGTTCATATAAGGTTTTGGCTTCACATTTGTGAGTTTCACTAGTGCCTGAAGTTGACTTTTGCAATGCATTTGTGGCCAGTTAGATCATTTATAATGGTTTGCCCTAGCCATAATAGCTCTAGGCTTGCTCTGTTATGACCTAAACTATTGAAAACAGTTTAACAGTATGTCCGATTTTTTTTCTCTTTAATTCTGACAGACAATTGTATGATAATCCGTTGTCTTTTGTCGGGAATTCAGCTTTTCAAAACTTATCAGACCTCCGCTTCTTGTAAGTACTTGTCTAGCCTTTAGTAGAATGTGTGAAGTGAGATACTTGACACAGCAATATTGGCTCTGTCTGCTTTCTATAATTATGCTACTTTAACTGTACTCTGATCTGTTGACCCCTTGAAAGGATTTATAAAGACAAAGGAATTTTAATTCATTGCAAAAAGCAGTGTGACCAGATAGGATGACATCATTGGAGGAACTTAAAGGATTTTTAATTTTTGTGACCTGGCAGAAAAATAAATTTGTATGGCATTTATTACCTGTCCTTAAGCTGAAATGCTGTCTGGCCGTCTTTCACTCCAGCTCACAGAACTAAACACATAATGATCAGGCTCCATGTAATCTGACTGAGTCTTATATTCCAGCTAGAACCCAGCACAAAATGATCTGGCTGCCTGTAAAAACGAATCATTGTGTCTTACATGCCAGCTGAACAAAAAATGATCTACATGTATGTAATCTGGGCCTTTAAAGGAATATTCCACCTTTTTGGACCATGAACCTAAAAATGGGTGTAACTTGAAGTATGGTTACATTCCTCAACCTACCCATCCACAAACCACCCCCACGCTTGCCTTACTCACAAGGTTCTTCTCCCCTCAGGATTCTGTGTTCATTTGAACTTGTCATGGTCATTCATTTACAAATCCACACAGGATCTGTGAATGGAAAGACTCCACTGTGGCAGAGGGACTCATAGACCTCAAGGACGTCACCGCACTTATTACCCATAGATTACCTACTCCAGTCCCATAACTGAAGGTCTGTATGTTCATACAGACCTGAGGTTGGGAGAATATGCTGCAGCCTTTCCATTGCACACATGATCCACTAATATGATTTGCAATGCTTTGCATGCAATGTAAAAACATTTAATAAATGCACATGTTTGTTTTTATTACTGTGTGTGCATTTATTATTTTTTTAAAAGGTAAAGTATGCCTTTAAGTTGTGTACTCGGGCTCACAGAACCAAACACAAACTATCAGGCTCCAGGAAAAGTGAAATGCTCACTGCATTACCCATTTCTGTCTATCAATTGAAATGTGCATCTGCCCCCATCTCTCTTGTTATGCAATATAATTGCTGACAGCAAAATTGCCAACCCAGCAAATGGCAACTGTGAAAAAACCTGGCATCCCTGACTATAATTCTAGCCTTTCATAATCTGAGTGCCTTTATATTTACATTCGGCAGAGTGGTTGAATTAAGTATTTTGATGTCTTACCAACTTTACAACCTACCGCTTAATGCAAAACTAAGATTTAATTATATTTGTGTTTTTTTTCCTATTCATTCACTAGGGTTATTCGAGGAGCATCTGATATCCTTTGGTTCCCAAACTTGACTGGAACAGTGAACCTGGAGAGCCTGTGAGTATTGCACATTACGGGGATTATTCAGCTGTATTGGACTTTCAGTTAGTTGAACAGGACTACAGTCCTGGGATGCGAGCTGGAGGAAAGAAAGTTGGAAGGGATTACAATACGCAACTAAAAAAAAGCCGTGGTTTTGTCCAATTCTTGTTAGAAAATGAGAGGAAAATGTATGGTTTATAAATTGGCACAACGCACATATTTGTTTCTTTTCGTCCAAGTTTCGTACACAAAGCCCTTATGGGCTGTTTATTAAAACAGTGAAAACGGCAGCAGTGTTTGGAAGCCAGAAACATCCGAGCTCAGGTTGGTCATCTGGAAGTCTGGCAAATGCTACAGTATAGACATCTGGAATGTCTGTGGATCTATGTCCACACTGGAACCTGACAAACTTTAGTCATGCACAACAATAAGGCTAACAGGTTTTAAAGGCCAGAATAATGTAAAGTAGATGTCAAGGCACAATAAAAAAAAAAAAATATATATATATACACTGAGTGGCCA